TCAAACAGTTGGAAAAAAGTCATAGAACTTTGTTTTTGTACATGATAACTGCAGTGAGATTATTGAATGCACAAAGATGGAAAGATTCGGCATTACCTAAAATGGAGGAAAGGTTGGTGAAGATAATGGAATTTGCTGAGATGGCTAAATTGACTTTTTTGATCAGAGAAAAGACAATGTCTGTGTTTATTGCTGACTGGAAACCCATTATGGACCTTTTACATAAAACAGAAAAAAAAAGAACTTATGATTTATGGTTTTGATGATTACACAGGATAAATTATAGAAACAAGAGAATTAAGTTGTAACCATAGAGTAAGAGGTAAATTTATAATTGTACCTATAACTGCTGTAAAGAAGATTGGAAGCTACTACTTTGTATCTTTTTTCTTTCTTTTCTACTTTTCTTTTTTCATTTCTTGCACTTTTAACTTTCTCCTTGATTTCTTTTTCTTTCTTTTTCTTACCTTATATTAGTTTGTATTAGTTTTTATCTTCCTTCTTAAAAATCTTTAATAAAAAGTGTGTGCGTGTGCGCGCATGTAAATAAAAGAAACTGAAAATGCATTTTAAATAGTCATGCATTTTTAGGTGTAAACTACTGAAATGTTTTATTCAGAATTTGTGATAATATTATTGCAAGTATTTTTTCCAGAACTCAGAATTGCACAGCATTAGAAAAATGCAATAAACAAATGCATAACACCATTATTTAAACTCTCAGTAAATAATATCCACCAAACTTTTCTTCATTCAGACCATATCTAAAGTGGCATACACACTAGCAATTAATTTGGGAATATATCTGGATTTTTTCTCATACTAATAACAACTGATTGCAAAGCACAGTAATAGCTTATTCCCTTCTTTTCCTTTAATCTCTGTAAACATTATGAATGCAACATAACCAGTAACAGTCGAACAGACATACCAGCCTGCTGGCTACTCTTTTCATCATCATTCTTTCTGGCAAATCCATAGTATTAGCAATGGCCAAGACAATTAACTTGGCATCTTTCTGGGTGGGCCAGTCAAAGAGGTTGTACATCACATTTTGTTTTCGAGTCCACAGGAGATCAAGCTAGATTGAGGAAGAAATTGATACAAAGTTACAAGAAGATACACTACAAATATATAAGAGATCTGGTTCCATTTTTTTAAAATTTTGCATAAAAATATTATTTTGGATTAACCTTATTAATGTACATAGAATAATGTGTATTATTTTAAGTTTACTTAACTATAGATAATACTGCCTATGTGAGTGTATAAAGAAACATATACTGTATTCTCTGCATCAGTATATTTCTCCTTGAAGAGCAAGCGCTTGTTAGGTAGCTGAAACTGAAGTTTGCAGTTAATCCATAGAAATGTATCAGGTTAGGAATGAGTACAAAAAGTAGATTTTCCCTTTTGCTTTTGTGTTATATTTTTCAGATTTTAAACTCAGCAGAGATGGTTGTTATTTTTAATTAATCTTTGAAAAACCCTCTTGTTCAGCTGAAGAAGAGAATAAAAGTGTTTTGAAATAATTTATGGTATTGTTTTCATTCACAAGGATGTTCAGACCATTAAAACCTTCACCGGCCCCATGGCTTTAAAATACTTAAAAAACAGGCTAAAAACTGTCTTCTAATATAAGAACTCCCACATTACCTCATCCACAACAAGTACTATAGTTTTTCTTTTTGATCCAGGAGTGCAAAACATCTTTTTCAGAAGTTCAGCAGCATGATTGGCAGTTGTCTTCTGGCCTGTCAGTAGCTAAATAGGGTTAAGCGGAGACTGGAGTTAAGATCTTGTGCAGCAGTAATGAATTCTGCTATAGCGACACTGTAACTCTATGTATGTTTATCTAGAGGTAAATCCTACTATATTTGGTGTGGCATGTTGTCAACTTTGGAAGGACAGATGGAAGAATTCATTTTGATATGCACCTAAAAAACTACAATTTTGCAGAATTATACTACCTCCAACTTGTCATAATTGAGCCTAATATCCAGATAAAAGCTGTTAATCTGGTTGGGTGTAATGGCAGGAATTTTTACCCAATATATTTGGAGGGACCTATACTAGGGAAGTTTGTACTAATTCTGGATACAGCAGAACTCTTGAATCATTCCATGAACACTTCATATTTAATTAGCTATAAATAATACTAAAGTGTTTGCAATCTTCCAAATTTTAAAAGACGAGAGGCACATTTTACCCAAGCCATAAGTTGTGTCAATAGTTGCATTATTCATTTCAATACACACACACACACACACACTGTGTGTATGTGTGTGTGTGTGTGTGTGTGGTATGGAGAGCCACTGTGGTGTATTGGCTAAGGTGCTGAACTAGGAGCAGGAAGACCGAGGTTCTTAGGCACAGAAGCCAGCTGGGTGACTTTGGGCCAGTCATTTTTTCTCAGCCAAGACTGAGAAGTCAGAAAATATCTACCTACCAACCTCCATTGGACCAGTGTGGTAGATTACAGTCCATAACCTTCAATGATGTGGCCTTCATCCTGCAGATCTGGGATGAAAACACTATCTGTCGCATATCAAGTTACACACACACACAACTTATGGCTTGTGTAAATACACACACACACACACACACACCTATAAACCAACAAATAGACAAGCTCACCCTTTGAGTATAAAAAACTACTGAAGGAGCTTCTTGCCCAATTTTATTTTTTTCAAGCATATTCACCTTTAAGATTAGCACATAGGCTTGGTGTGGATCAGTCAGTTTCATTCCATTAATCTCTATAAACTGGAAAGATGGAATCTCTTCATTTTCTGCTGCCTGCTGAAGATAATGAATAGCTTCATGGACTGTTGCTGTTTTGCCTGTTCCAGGAACTCCAGAAATGTACATACACCTGAAACACAAGAGAGCCAATCTGATCACTAAGATTTCTGTTTTTCTTATAGAAAGCTATATCCTATAGCTTATCCTACCTTAGACTAATTTTTCCCTTAGCCAGATTAAATATTATTAATGATTTGGCAGCAGCTCTAGCTGTGTTGCTTGTTCTTGGAATTCTTGCAAGGAAACTCTTTAGGAATGTGTTACCTAACCCTACTTAAAACAAAAAAAATTACTTAATCCTTCTTAAAATAAAAATAATCAGAGGCAACAGGATTGATCTGAGAAGCTTCTACATAGACAGTTTCACATCCACTGGATTGGGTAATAAAGGTGAAGATCTCAGAAATGGAACATACTTAGCAAATAGCTGCTAAGACATATTAATAAATATTAATAAACAAGATATTTCTTTGAATCTGTGTAACAAGTAGTACATGACTTTCAAGAATTTTTAAAAAGTGTTGTAATCTTAGAGAAAAAGAACTTCTAAGAGAAAACTTGCTATCACTGTTTTGGCACATCAACATGACCTGGATTTCTCTTTAATGAAACTGAAAATGCATAAATAGCATGCTAAGAAATGCTCACCCTCCTGTTCCATTAAGAAGTTTGCTTTCTATAAAGTTACAGATATCCTGGAATTCCTTTTCACGGCATGGCAAGGCCTCTGGGACAGCAGACACATGCAGTCTGTTAATTAAAGCAAGAGGAGGAAACTGAGGTCAATACTAAAGACCCCGGTTCCATGACTTCTAAGCAAGCTGCTAGGCACAGAATAGAATTTAAGAATTATTATGCAAATGTTCTAAGAATTCATTTCAAATAGTGCCTTAAGACTAAGGTTGAAAAAAAGTGACTTATAACTTAAACACTAATCCAAATTAAAAATATTCTATATACAAACATAAAACAGGAAGAATAAGACATTCATAACAGAACAGGTATTTGTTTAAAGGTACCATTATAGGCTTTGATAAAATAAATACCATTTATATCACCCTCAAAAACTAATTTCCAGTTTTCCTCTTATAACTACAATAGTATTTATTTTTTACCTCATTAAATACCAGGAACATTTTACTTTACCTCATTCTTGCCTCTTCTAGCACGCTGGCTGGCTTCTGTGCCATTTGATTTCGGCTGCGAATTCTTGGGGTGGCATTACGTGGAGTTGGAGTTTTTGGCTTAGACTGCAAGAAAAAACATTCCCCTAAAACTTAATGCTGCATCTGCTGCACTGATTGTGTGCCAAGTAATAGCCCAAGCAGCTTTTTTAAAAAAAGGAACCAAGTAGTTAAAAATACACAGGTCGTACAACAAATCAGACATTTTATTAATTGCAATTAAATTTCAGGTATTAGCTCTCTGAAAGGCCTTTGAGATGAGGCTCACTTGCATGATTCTCACCTTTCAACTTATTTGCAAAAGTAACAAGCTGTGGTGAAAAACTAAAGCTGTCAGTTCTAATTCTTCTACTTCTTTAGAATGGGACACTGCCATTCTTCTACTTCTTTATTTGTTACACTAAACACACACATCCCTGCCCCATTTCTGTTTAAGATGTTTAAACATTCAGATTTTTAATTTGTTCTCTCATTTACAAAGGTAATTGCATTTTCTGTCTGAAACTGCTGAAATTCAGAATTAACTGAAAGAAATTAAGCCAAACATTTTTATTGTTTAGTACATGTATTTGGCATAAGGTTTAAATAAATATTCAACACCAGAGCAGACTGAAAGAGGGAAAGGACCCTAGAAACAGTTCTATATTATTTCCTCTTTGGAGTTTTGTAGTCCATGTTGACAGCCAGTTTGGTGTTGTGGTTAAAGACACTGGACTAGGAGCAGGGAGACCTGTATTTTCATTTTCCCTTAGGCTCAAAAGCCAGCTGGGTGACTTAGAGCCAGTCACTCTGAATCAGACCTAGGCTGGGAAATTAAAAAAAAAAAAATCCTCAGGAAGGCGTTGGCAAACCACTTCCAAAAATATTGCTAAGAAAACTGTATTGACCTGTTCATGTCACCAGGAGTCAAGATTGATTTAAATGACCATAACACACACACAGCCTAGCTTGATCAGTTAAAGTGAAGATGGTATTCTTTTGCCTGCAAAGGATGCACAGAATGAAGCTCATATATTATTTGACTCCAAATATAGTCACTATCTGTTCTTCTCAGATATCTCCATTTCTAAATTCCATCCCTGAAACTTTAAAATCAAGGCAGTTTATTTTATGTATATATTATTGTTGAAAGTAATTCAGATTTTTTTTAGAAATGCCTATAGTTCTTACAGTATTCCTTGAATCCTTGGCAGGTGTCCCAATGGATTGGTTCTTTGAGACCCTGGAAGTCGATTTTGTTTGCTTTTTAGGTGTATGAAGCATCTTGATGTCTTCATCATCACTGCTATCTGAATCAGAACTTCCCAAGGGAGTAAGACACTTATCCTTGTCTTTATCTCCAGCTGTATTTAAATTACTAAAGAAATAAATTAGATCCATCATATTTAGAATTTTGGACAGTAAACATAAAAGGAGACACTTGGAGCAACACTGGCAGAAGACAAGGAGAGATGATGATCAGACAGATATGAGCCCATGTTCAGGTCCATACATAGTGACAGAGAATCTTGCTTCATCTGGGTTTCTTCTGAGCCTGTGATGCCTAAGGAAAATGAGGGGGGCTGTGGGTCAACCACCTGTAAATTAGATCCCTGCCCTTCTTGATCAATACGGGCTGCTAGTGAGGGCATAATAATATGGATCAAGGGCATGGTATGTGTGCTTTTAGTGGATGAAATAATGCCACAGGTCTTTAAAGAGGTCTTTTTGCTAATAGGGTATTGGAAGAGAATCTTGAAAGCTTGTCAAACACCTAATCCTTTAGTGGGACCTTTAGTAAGGGAGGTTAGACAACAAAGAACAGATGTCAGCAACTTGATTTCTCCAACAGATATTTGGACTATACCTCCAATAATCCCTGACCAATGGCCATGTTGGCAAATGGATATGGAAATTTTAATTCAAAACTTTGGACATAACCAAATTGCCTACTCCTAAGCAGAAGAACAGAGATGAGATTACATGCAACAAATTTTCTATTATTTAAACTTAACGTTTACAAAGCAAACAATGTCCTATGAATGAATTACAGTGAAGGTTATTGATCCAGATTTGGCCCAATTATCTTATTTTCATTTACACAAAGAACGATCAAGTTTGGACCAATCTTTTCTTTAAAGCCTTTCTATCAAACAATATATTTGTGAACACACATATATAAAGCAAATATTTCCACCAATAATTTGTCATGTCTTTCTAATACACTAGGCATCTCAGGGCTGTAAACTGCCTACAATAATAATATGTTGTCCAGATAACAGTCTCACCAAAGTTGTTCTGCAATTCGAGCAGCAGTCACTTGTGCACATTTTCTGCGTGAACGTGGAGTCACTGCTGGATTCCTTGTTTCCAATTCATGTTCTTCATCTAAACTATAGAGAAATGTGACTATATATTATATGTCCTATGGAAAATACATAACACTTTCACCAACTTCACAGTTCTCCATTATTCAATAAACAGAGAAACAGATAATTTTAAGACAATCTAGGCAGATAAAATTTAACCTAAGGAATCATATTCAAGTATAGTTATTAATCTGTTAAATATATTCCCACTATTAAAAAGCTAACATTTCTGCATGTCAGCAAATTATTGCAGAATAGAAGCAAATTAATATTAACCACATAGAAGGCATCCATCAGGGATACCTGTGTTTTGCTTCAAGAAAAATAGTATGTTAACATAGAAACAAGAACAATAGGCTGTTCAGAAGACCACACTTCAGAATTTAGGACATAATACTGGCCCTTACTCTTTGGTACTTTGTGTCACAGCAGAGCACCTGATTTTCAGACTGGAATCTTGGTTCCTCTGGTGTGAAGTTGGTAAGTTTGTTGTAGTTCTTTCAGGCTGCTCTTCCAGTGGTTTGATATCTAAAAGCAAATCTTCCTCATCAGAAGCACAAGATATTTTTTTAGGAGAACCCTTAATGCCAGTAAATGTTACTTTTCTTTTAAGGGCTAATCGTTTTGCAGTTTCAGTGAAACGACAGTCTAGAAGCTCAATCACATCTTGCTGCTCTGCAAGCATATTTCTAGGAGATTTTGTAGGAGCTGAAAGGAAAAAAAATCTCAGTTAGAACAAGATTTAATAGGATTCATTAGGTAATGATAATTTCTGAATACATATGTCCCTCTGTAGCTCTGGAGCCAAATGCAATCCTTAGCCAAATTTCTTCTGGCCCACAACCTAATTTCTAAAGCCTTCTTCCAAGAAATAATTTCAGACCTTATTGATTTTTCACAAATTCTTGAAAACCTAGTTGGTCTCCGAGACCCTTAGGTAGAATGGTTGAGACCCTTTAGATTTTTTGGTTTAGATATTTTTTGGTTTTCTATGTTATGGGCCAGTCTTCTGGTTGGCCATATTTTCTTTCCTTTGGTATAAGTTACTTTTAATTTTAATTCATTATAAGCTCCCCAGAGTTGTTGTGGAGTTGAATAGCTTCAAAACTGGAATATCAAATTAACTAAATTAAAGATTAACTTGCCCCCTCCTCTGGCATTCTGCCATTTGGAAAGACAGGAGAGAAAAGAGTCAGAAAAAAAAAGATTATCAGGAAATGAATGAATGGACCTTAACTCTGCTACTGCTTTCTTCAGTTCTACCTATTACTGGCATGCTGTCCCAGCATATTATTCCCAAGGAAATACAGCAACCAAAGAAAACTGGTTCCTCATCTCTAGTTTAAATTAAAGAAAAAAATGCAATATATGAGCATTTAGCAGTATAGAAGCATCTAAGCAGGATTCACACGATGTAGCTCAGAACTCAAAAACATTTTTAGATTACATTAATAGGCACTTCTTTTTAACTCCAAAGAGCTGTTTCTTTATTTTTGCTTCTACATCCTATTAATAACATGGAAGGACAAAGTCTTTTACTCACTCATTCTTTAGCACAGGTTTTCCCAATTTTCCAGGAAATGACAAAAAGTTCCAATTATGGATATACCTATAAACCTGTATAATTATGTTATTCCCATGTTAATTATACTAATAGGAGCAAACTAAATATTTCAGAATTTTGTTAGTGTTACAGGTATTTGTGAATTAAATGCAGCAGTGAGAAAGCAGAAATGAACAACCCCAGCTCAAGCAATCCCTCTCTACACTCTTTCTTAATTATGGCTTTCAATTGAAATATTCTGAAGGACAGAGATCTGCTTAATATAAAGGTCCAGTTTTAGTCATTAGTAACTCTAATTTAAGGATGGTAAGTAGTCCAAGTCACAGTAATTTCTTCATCCAGAGCAGCTGGAAAGTATTATTACTATTCTCAGTAACATTTTAACACAACCTTCCTGGGAGATGATTCAGGGTAATTCTGTGGTTTGGAAAAGAAAAAGTTATACAGAGCAGTTCCCATTATTAAGAACTGCAAAAGGGATTTCTGCAGTAAAAAGCCAGAGGTAAACAACCCTTTATAACCCTTAAAATTTATAAAGTACTGTACAGTATATAAATCATATATCAGGTTCCAGACTCTATCTTCTAACAATACTGAATACTACAGCAATACTGAAATGCAGAATCAGTTGTAAACATACTGTTTAATTGTAATCTTTTCTTTGCTCCAGGGATGTCACCACTGGCCAGTTTTGGGGAATGTCTCTGCTTAAACAAAGAAGACTTAGCAGCTGAATGTCTCAATTTTACTTCTGCAGTGCTTTTATTGCTTCCTCTGGTACTCGGAGTGACATTTCTGGTTGTTTCTTTCAGAGAGTGGGAGGGAGTCAGGTGGCATTCAGTTGCACAATTTATCTTATTCCTTATTTTCAAAGAATTTTTCAATTCTGCCAGTAACTTAGGCTGCAATGGCTTCAGCCTTTTTCCATCCCAGGATTTCCTTACAAACATAATTTGCTTATCTTTTGACTCAGTAGGCAATGTTTCACATGGTGACAAGGGAATAACCTAAAAACACAGCAAAACAGCAGAGAGTTGTTCATTTTACACAGCAGATTCAAATCCAAAGAACAGTAAAATAATGTAATTAATCAATTAAAACTTAGTATAGTTCAAAGAGACTAAATCTCAGTTAGCTTTAAGCATAAAAGGTCAAATTAAGGAATGCATTCCCTCAAACTGTAATGAAAACAGAAGACAGAAATATTTAACAAAACAATTTCCAGCCTAGCTGAAAACACTGGAATTCCTGATGGTGCCTAATCCAAGTAGAAACCAGACGCAAGCCAGCTTAGTAGCTAGCTGCTGCCACCTGGTGAAGTCATCCTATATACCAAGGGCTATTACTATTAATAAGCTACTAATGAATCATATATAATTTTAGCTTACGAATAATACTTTTCACTATCTCTAGACAGCGTATATGCATAGAACTACAAGCAGTTTAGAAGAGGCATTGATTCTAGTGTTAGAATCAGGAATACCCGATGCCTAAAATGGTATTTGTAACATACAATTTCTGTAAACATTAATAATTCAAATTCAAATTCAAACCATTGCCCAATTAATCTAATTATTTTCATCCAATCTAGTGTTTCTCAGAAGTTTTGTTACTACAATGGTCATGCTGACTGGGGATCACCAGGACTGTAATCTAGCAGTTACAGATTGGGAAAGGTTAATCTGAATGATCAACTCCGCATTGATGATCAATAGCATAAAACAGTTCAAGAAACAAATAATGAACTATACATTTTATAAAAAGAGGGTTGCAGTTGAAATGCAAAGATATAGATAAACTGCCAATCATAAAAATCCATTTTAGCTGCAGTGGAGAAAGAAGCAGCTTACAGCATTATAGCTCAAACCATTTTCTAATAGAGATCTCTGGCCTCCTTGTTCAGCAAGCATCCCCTGCAAAATGTAATCATATTTTGGCTTGTGGACTACTTTAATTTTTCCAAGAATACTGCACAGAAAAATTATCAGTGCACAATTTGGGGGTCCTCCTGGATTCATGGATCCTGCTCAAAGGCCAGATGACAGCCATGGCTGGGGGGCTTTTACACTGAGTCATCCTGTGCACCAATTGTGCCCTTTTCCGGACTGGGAGGCACTGCTCAATCACTCACACTTTGGTCACTACCCATTTGGTCTACTGCAATGAACTGTATATGGGGCTGCCTTTGAAGACCACTGGGAAGCTATAACTGGTCCAGAATGCAGCAGCTATGTTGGGCGCCCCTAGATTCGCCCATGTTACACCCATTGCAGAAGCTGCATTGGTTCCCAGTTTCCTTCCGGATGCAATTCAAGGTGCTGGTTAACCATTAAAGCCCTATACAGGATGGGATCAGGTTATTTGTGGCCCTGAAAGTTTCTGCCCATCTCACCAGATCAGATAAGATAGGCATGCTCCAGTTTCCTTCCCTGAAATGCTGCCATTTAGCGGGACTTATGCCTTTTCCATAGCTGCCTCTAACTTGTGCATCACCCTCCCCCAGTGATCCAGGAGATCCCCACTCTTTTAGCCTTCCAGAAGGCCATCAAGGCCTAGCTCTTTACTCAGGCACTGGGACAGAGTGATGGGAACTTATGTATGGCTGTTGAGGCATCCTAGGAGATAATTAAGGCACCAAGTTTTTTTTAGTTTTTGTTTTTATGTTTTTTAGTTTTATTGTTGTGAGCTGCCCAGTTGTGTTCTAAGATGGGTGGCCAAACACATCTTTTAAATAAAATCAGTCAATCAGGTTGGCCAATGCTATTTAAGCATATTTATGCAGCAGTGGTGTGATCACAGTGTTCAATCAATATTTTGTCCAGCAATGAAAATGAATGTATAAATAAGTGAACCCTCAAAAGCAGATGAAGTAGAACTGTCATGATCAATCCTATGATAGGCTATTTATCACAGATCATAATATATAACAAAAGACTACTTCATATTCTTTTTAAAGTGCTGCCTTTCACGTTTAGTATTACATATCCAAGAAGAAATGTCAAGTCAGCCCTGAGGCTGCCAGGAAAGCGCTATCTCATGTTTACAATTATTGCAGAACTACATCATAAAATTCTGAAGAAATTTTCCTTTTCTTGCCTTCTCACACTTGAATACTCTACTACTCACCGTAACAGTACTAACAATAGATGAAACAAATATGTCAGTGTCCCATTCAGCCTTTTCATTCAAAAATATCTCCTGAGAAGCTTTTTGTCCCAAAGATTTTCGGAGATCAAAAGGTATTTCTTCAATACGACAGAACCACTCAACAACTGCATGTTTCTTCTGAGTATCTGGGGTAGAAAAAATATTACTTACTAAGATATCTTGAAGAGTTTTGAAACATACATTTCTTTGGTTTCATTAAATGTCAGTGAGAGTAAGTTAGAGTTTCTTTCATGCTTTCTACCTTTTGCTATCAACTATTGCTAAGATGGTCCTTTTCATTCAAGCCAATAGTTGTAGACAGGTAGACTTTCATAAGTTGCTTAAGATTACTGAACTTTTAATCGAAGAACACGTGACAAACTTTTAAGGAAACCAAAATTTTCCAGAATGTACTTTGAATATCACTGACCAGTAGAGAATCAAGTTGATTTTTGCTATCTCATACGCAGTTTTACAGTATGTAGCATTTGGATCTGAAGTGGGCAAAGGTGCTTCTGATCACTGTATTCCAATCTGCTGGGCCTGTCAGCAGCTCCTTAAAGAAGCCGGGTCCCGGGAGGTGGAGCTGGCGTCGCGGCGGTACGGTGTACGATCTTGAGCTCTCAAGATCGCAGTCGATATCTCCGGTGCTGGACGGTCCCAAGGGACCCAAGCCGTCCCGTAGAGACGGCGACTATATAGGGCACGTCCTGTAGATCCCAGGGA